TGCGGTACGCGGGCCTCTCACCGCTGTGGCCTCTCCCATTGCGGAGCGCAGGCTCCGGACGCGCAGGCTCAGCGGCCATGGCTCACGGGCCCAGCCGCTCCGCGGCATGTGAGATCTTCCCAGACCGGGGCACGAACCTGTGTCCCCTGCATCGGCAGGCGAACTGTCAACCACTGCGCCACCAGGGAAGCCCTCTGTGAACCTTTTATTGTGTCAGTAGCTGTTCCACAGCTACTGATTCATTTGTGTAACTCGTGACTGTGTTCCTCAGAAAATGAGGTGCATAATTACCAAGAAACATGAGCAAATTTTTTGAAATCCAATCGGTGCTTTTCTTAAAGCTGCTTTGGAACCTCATCATCCTCAGAGCAATGATGGAAAGTTCTAGAGAGAGTTGTAAACCTTTTATTGTATGCTCTTCTGTTCTTAAAATCACCCAATTACTTAATTTGGAAATAGCTTAAAATCTCATGTGGTGTAGATTAAGCATTATATTTTTCTTGAAAATAATTTACTTTGTAATGCCATGTTCTCCATGAATTCAGATCATGCACTGCATGCTTTCAAATGACTTGATGTCTTTGCAGATCTAATTTTGGTATATTTGTATCTCAGATAATTCTCCAACTCAATATTTTGGCTTAGCAATCCAAATCAAATCGTGGTCCAAGTAGCAGGCACTCACATTGAATGTACAGAGACTTGACAAGCAATTAACAATGAATATTGAAACGTCTTCATTACCCTTGCATGAGGAATGCAGATGGCATTTAGGGAGATGGCAACCCGAGGGCACTACTGTGAATTATGTTTCAATCATTTGGTCACCTGACTATTGGAAGACTTTCTCTGGGCCTCATGCCACTTCTATACTTTTCCTGTCTGGCTAAAAATAAAGCAGGCATTCCAAATGTTGTAAAACAGGTTGCTTCCATGAAATTTCTATGCACATTTTGTGATTTGGGAAGGTTGTCTCCAAGGATCCCAGCATCCATCCTTCAAATGCCAAGACTGTATAGGGGATTCTGTGAATCAGAGTCCCTTCAAACATCCTGCTGATCACTGGCTTCAGTTACCTCAGTATAACGTGCTGAATGTGCAAAGGTGAATAAATCAGCATCTCATCCCTTCCAGGAGCTAATGCGTTATATATAGCCCAAGGGAAAAAAAAGTCTTTGAATAATTATAATTTCCAGATTGAGATCTCATTATAAATTTCTTTTTTAAAGGAAAAAACAACACTGGAGAGTCTGACTCAGCAGCTGGCAGTTAAACAGAATGAAGAAGGAAAGTTTAGCCACGCCATGATGGATTTCAATATGAGTGGAGATTCTGATGGTTTGTGAAATTTCTCGTCTATATTCCAGTAGCGGGCAGAAGTGCCTGTTGAATACCCATTAAAACTACTAGGAAACATACAAGACAGCCACCTCATACCTGATCATTACAGTAAGAGTTCACATGTACTGAGTGGTTCCCACCTGCCAAACGCTCTGCTGAGTGCTATGCATAAATCATCTCATTACTCCCCAGCACAACCTGTGAGATAAGAACTCTTACAGATACAGAGATTAGCCCTTAGGAATTTTGAGTCACATTTTCCAAGACTACAGAGCTGTTAGCACCAAAGGCAGGTCTTGGATTTAAGATGGCATGATTCTAAAGCAAATGCTCTCATTCATCATCTTCCCTGTCTCTCACTTCCCTATTTCTTACACCTGAAAGAAACTTTTCAAAAAAATGTTTTTCTATAAGCACATTTTGAAGTTTTCGTTTGTCAAACCCTGACCAGAAGACACGGCTCAGGGGACATTTTCAGTATAGTTTCTTGCATCTGGAACCCTTTCCCTCTTATACTATCTACCATACAGTCAGGTGCCCTGCCTACCCTCTGTAACCCAGCTAGAGCTCCAGCGGTACAGTCTCATGCTTCCCTCACATGCCTTGAGACTTCTGTTGTCTACGTCATCTTTGAACGTTCTAAACATCCACAGGGACAACTAAATAAATTGATGCTCTAATTCTAATAGCACAGCAAGGAGGGAAAAAGAAGAAAGTGCTTTTCCTCTTACACTGAGCCCCGACTGGGAACCTCTCTCCAGTGTCAGGTGACATACATGCATTTCAAAAGCATGGTCCTCAACTTTGTTACTACGGCAGAAGCTCCCTGCATACAGAAAAGACTGAACCAGGGCAAACCAGCGAGCAGCCAAGGGGCTAGCCAAACTTGAGCATTTAACCAGATAATTCTGTCGAGACCAAATTTTATTGAATTGGATATCCAAGAAAAGTCTGTGTTTTTCTAGCCTGTTGTATCCAGATGTTTCCTTCTCTTTTCTGCTTTGCTTGGCTAAGATAAACCTGGCCTAAGTACATACGGAGAGCTTGTTTAGCTTTGATGAAATCACATAATGTTCATTTTATTGCTTATGTTGCTGTAAGGTGTAAGAACAAGAAAAAGCAGATGTGCAAATGATCATTTGCTAGCTGCAGACCCATTCTGGGAAGATGTCACCGTATATTAGCACTCATTTTTGTCAATAAAAAGACAATTACTGGTAATAACACGTTTCATAAATTTTAAGTTGTATCAGCATGATAAAATATACCTACGGTAATCAGCATTAAAACATCAAAATTGTTGTTGCTGTTATTTGTTATATTCAGTCATGCTCATCTGCAAAATATTTTCCAATCTTCATCAGACCAAAGAGCATACTATGAAAGAGAAATAATGGGAAATTCCAAATAAGCTGTGTTTTTTGTTTGCTGCTATGGAGGTCTTCAAGTCTGGGTAATTCTGGTTGATTCCTGTTCCTTCAAATTAAGAAAGGAAAAGGAGGATGAAGGAAGAAAAGAAGAGCAGTGCTCTAGAAAACACCCAAAATATTTGAAATTTTTACATGCTAACAGAATATATCTCTTTCATCTTTTTGTAATGACAACCCTGGAGAACATAGTGCCAGAGTTATATGTTTTGCTTCTCCTTATTTTCTTTGCCTAAATTCAAGTATCCCTGGAAGCAGTTTAATCTGCTGAAGCCATTCTACAAAGTCAGATAAAGCCTAGAGGAGTGCCTGAAGCTCCCCAAGGTTCCAGTGTGACACTTGGTCATGTTTTATCATCCTGAGCCTTGCTGTTTGGAATGTAATTGTCAATGGATCTCTTTGGATAACTTAGATGTTAGTGGGAAAATTCAGGGAAATGAACGTATTTTTTTTCACCTTAAATATGTGACTGTAGACTTCGTTAAGAAACCATAGAATGTAACCATTTGTTTGTTCTTTTCCTACCATTTTCAAGTATGTTTTGGGAACCAGACTATCATTGCTGCATCAGCATATTTCATGCATGTATTAGCACATAATTTCAAAGAAAAGCCAAACACGTTATAGGAGATATCTATATTGTATTTTAACCTTAAACATTTATTTAGCAGTGTTTTTATATAGCCTAGAGAGAGAAAAAGTATGCTATGTTCTGTCAGTCTTCAGGTAGCAGAGACACATCCTTACCTATAGTCATCCATTCTGTTGAACAGTGTGGTGTTTCACAATTTTGTGAGCTTTTTGACCTGTCTAATGTTTCTACAGTACCGGCATGCCTGTTGACCTAACCCAACTATTCTCTTTCCAATTTGTATCAAAGATCACATATTCAAGATTCTTGTGTGCTCTTGAAAGTAAATGGTGAAACAGTCCGTAGTCCATTGAAAGAAAGGAAAAATATATTAGAAATGGACTTAAAAATACAAATAACAACATTTGACACCTCAAGGCTTATCACAGAAACTTTATTAGATGTGCTTTTGATTTTCAGATATTTTAATAGACTGAAAAACAATAATGCAAGGAAGGGAATTGCCATAAGTTTTAACACTAACATGAAGCAATGTTCCCTGTTTTTAGGAAGTGCTGGAGTCTCAGAATCAAGAATTTATAGAGAATCCAGGGGGCGTGGTAGCAATGAACCCCACATAAAGCGTCCAATGAATGCCTTCATGGTGTGGGCTAAAGATGAACGAAGGAAAATCCTTCAGGCCTTTCCTGACATGCACAATTCCAACATCAGCAAGATACTGGGTAAGAAAAGTCTTAAGGGTTAAGTGATGTATGAAATACAGGTACAGTTTTGTTTTCTGCATTTGTTGAAAGAGACTGGGTTTGGAAGCCAGGCAGCTCATGTTTTCTACTTATCTAAAAATTAGGTACATCGTATTGAGCCTTTTCTTCTGACCATGAAGCTTTCCACATTTATCAAGAAATTGTGCCCAGATTCTGATTTAGATGTGTGTTCCTACACTAGTTGTTGTAATATTTCCTCTTCTTCAAAAATTTAAAATATTTGTATTAAGACTAGGAAAAAAAGCTCTTTTCACACAAGCCACTCAGTATTGGTATTGACCTTATTTGTTCTTTTCCTTTGTAAACACTATAGAATTCGTCATGTCATGGGGGTGAGGGTGGAGGTGGAGATGATGTCTGTTCTAATACTATAATTGAAAAATCAGTTTAGATTGTCAGGACACAAGAAGACGTTTGGGTGTACATTTTTTAATTTTTACTTTTAGTATCCTCACGCGTATTTTCAGTATCATTTAAAAAGGGACTTTTCCTGCTATTGCAGCTTTCAGCTTAACAGATGACAAAAGTACATATTTACCCAACATACATAGACACTGAAGCACACAGCAAAGATGGTTGAAACGAAAGAGTACTGATTATAAAGAGACCTATTATACACCAATTTAAGTCCCAGAAAGAAGGAAGGGAAGAGGCCATTTCTTTGGTGCTGTTCTCTTGACATCATCACCATCATCAATGTCATCCTCACCATCATCTTTACCTTCAAGAGCATGGTGTCCAGGTTCTTGACAACCTAAGCAAGTTTTTATTTTCTCTGACTTCTAAGAGCTAAATAAAAAAATTAGAAGAAGAACACTTAACTCTATCAGCACATTTTGTCTTTGACAAATAAGTAACAAAATTTGTTGAAGTTATTAAAGCTTTGTTAAAATCCATAGCGCACTTGGAATTACATGTAGCTAATGTAGTTTGCCTTTTGATTCTTTACATTAAGGAACCGATCATCTGAAAGTGGTTACTAAACATGTACATGCGTTTTTATGATCCCATATTTTCAACAGTGGTAATAGGGTGCCTCCCAGTCCACAGTGTACATTTGTAATGAAACAAAAACAAACAAAAACCATTAACTACTTAAACTTGTGTCTCAATTTTCATCTAAATGATTTTGAGCTCTTTAGATGAAGGTTATCTCAAAAGATATGAACATGTGAAGCTTTATGTGTACATAGAAAACATGAATATTTATGCATAAATATATATGAATATTTATGTATAAATATATATCCAAATATAATAAAAAAACTGAAACTGATCAAATGAAAATGCATATTTTTTGCATCTCTACCATCTCTGATCTATTTTTCTTTTTTTGACAACATTCTACCTTCCATATGAATTTTTCATTTAAAAAAAAATACCGTATCTGTTTCATTTGGAAAAACTCTAGAAAAGAATAAAGTACTTGATGTAAGGTTATTTCATATTTTAATATATCAGTTATTATCAGATTAGAAATCCCCAAATGTCAAAAAAACACTAAAAACTAAGATTGTTTAATGTGTCTTTATATCATTCATTTATGTGTCTGAATACTAAAAAAATAATAATCACTGATTAAAACCTTACTCTAAGTATGAGAGAAATACCAGTTTTGATGATGTGAAATATTTTAGGAAATAGAGCAAAAGCCTTCATGGGAAAGAGATGACTGGCTAAAAGAATTCCTTTCTGGTTAGAAGGAGAGAATATTAGAATGACTATATGATTATATCATAATAGGCTGCATGAAAGAGAATGCTGCCTAACTTAAGATTTTTGAATGAAATTATATTAATTAAAGATATAGCAGGAAAAAAAAAAAAAACCCACCGTGGTGTCCTGGGCCTCAATATTTAGTCATAGCGTCAAATAAATAAGTGATCTTCAGATATCCACAAGATCATTCTAAATGGCTCATTTCATATAAAAGTACAAAGAAAGCTTGATGTTTTCCCTTTTACTGATTGTTTTGGATAACAGCCTCCGACAGCATGCCGCTAATTCATTCTGCTTAAAACAGGCGCTTGAGCTGGGTTGACATTTTACGTAGTCTCTGGAGATCCTAGTTGACATTTTAAAGGGCTTCTAAGCATTTTATAATACCCTAAAATCTGGTTTTAATAAGCCATTCTGCTGAAATTGTTAACATAAGGAATCACCTTTTACCGTTTGGCGCTAGATCAGGGGACGGGGGACATCTTTTTCTGATTAGGTATACAGTAGTTAGAGTAAAATGTGCAAACTCATTACAGACCCCATGGAGATGACACTGTTGCCCAGCTCAAACTCTTCATTTTTATTGTGTTGCCAGACTTCGAAAGGAAAAGAGGACTTTCAAGACTGATTTTTTTTTTCTCATTTTGAACATCAAATATTTTCGATTGAATCTTCTTTTTTGTCATCAGGAGGAATATCTGAATGTACTTAATTCTTTTTTCATTGTTGAAGGCTCATCTTTTGAAAACAGCAGGGAACTTTTACTCCCTGTACATGGTCCAGGGTGAGCAGCCAGCCACACCCAAATCAAGGAGATGTTTTCATCTCTTTTGAAGGTATCTAAAATGCTGCCCTCCCATCCTCATCTAGTGAGTTTCAGGGGGTTACATTGCAGCTACAAACAGTGGTTGGTGTACCTGCAAAGCCATTGAAACCAAAACCAAACTGTCATTTGGTTATCCCCATTCGAAAGCTATTATTAAAAAATGATAGCTGCCTTTGCCACCAAACTGAACCACTGTTCTGCTCGGTCATATAATGGAGTAGTTAGCTTAAGCATTAACTGGGTCCGATTGGCTCTTAATTCTTAATTTTGAAAAGACATGTAACAGTGATATGGCCATATTTTTCAATATAGCTTAGAATTCAGTGATACTTCCAGAGAAATTATATTATCAAGTTTCAAAATATTTTGATTCCAGTTCATACCACAGTTAGAGGCCAACTTATTTGAGAATTTACACATCTTTTACGATCCTTTTTTTCTCTGCATTTTAGCCAGAACAACTTTAGGTTCCTCTACTCCCCCTTCCCACTACAAGGCCTTGACCATTCTATTCTTCCTCCATAGGCTGCTCTTGTTTTTTCAATCCCTCTAGGAGTCATTTTTGCAGCGCTGCCTTCCTGACCTACAGAAGATTGATCTCACCTCCTTATCATATGTTCTCATAGCTTCCTGTACTTTCCACAATTAAAATTATACATTTTGCAATTACGTATTTAATGTATTTCTTCTCGGCTGGAATATAAGCTCCAAGAAGATAGGAACCGTAACAACCCACTGCTGCATATCTAGTGATGAATACAGCATCATGCACATAGTAGGAAATCTAAACATAGCTCTTACATTCCGAGGCATGTTACTATGAGGCATAAACATTCCCTTTCCTTAGTGAAAAATATTCTTTTTGGAGCTGATAGAACATTTAGACTTAGGGAAGAATCTTTGGCAATTCCTATTCTAACTGAGAATGCTCGTTTCTTTGTTTTATTTGGTGGTAAACATAGTGAATTTCAAGTCAACCATCCTTGATCCACTGTTCGATTTCTTTAATTACTCAGTAAGTTATTCTGTTAAGTTCACTTTTCCACTCCCTATTCTGAGGGTCAAAATTCTGGTATACATACATATAAGAAACTCCACAAGAAGAATTGATCTAGTTCAGTAGTATTATAGGTTTACTTGTGTTTATATTTGCCCTGAGAATGACATAATGATTTTCATGTGCCTCTAGAAAATAATGTTGAATAATAAAGAGTTTGAGATTGTTCCTACAAATGATACGGCCTGACCAGCTAACTGAATGTTGGACACTGTATTTAAATACAAGTTTGAGAAAGGAGTAGAAAAATAAACTCTTATTATTTGAACTGTAACCTGAGTTTCTGTTGTAAATATAATGAAATCATATTGGCTGTCTAGATTGGAAAAAATCTGTTTATAAATCTTTGTAACACCTACGTGGATATACCCACCCAGGCAACATCTGTTCCAATAGGAAAGAATTCTAAGGGAAGAGATGTTGTCCCTTTCTCTGCATTCGTTTAATAAATATAACAGCCCATATTGAGGAATTCTGTACATTTGTAGGAAAGTACTATTCATTAGTGAGCTATTTGCATTTGAGATATGGAGTTATGGTTAAGTAATGAATTCATTCAAAAGGTTTACGATCTTGCTTAGGTAAAGGCAGCAGTGCCAGTACATATTTGCTAGGGATCTCCTAATTCCAGTTATTTTGGTCTTTGTGCATTTGGGTAGAGTTGAGCTGATTACTTGCAGATAAACATCTGCAAATAGATTTTTCTCACATTCTTAATAAAAAATAAACATTACTACTACTACAACTACTACTGCACATAGCCAAACTGATAGAATCAAAGCTTTAAATCACATCTATATTGAGAATAAGCATAAACTATTTTTAATTAAGCTTCCAATAGTTGTTTTTTTGCAATCCTACTTGAATCCAAACCAAAATTAAAAGTGAAAAGAAAGGGAAAACCAATTTGGGCTAACATTACTAATGCATACTCTATCACAGGAAGTGACATTTTTATATATTATTGAAAGTGATTTATTAAGAGAAAAACATTACTGAACACATACTTATTATTGTGAGTTTTGATTTCTGCTAGATCCTATATAGTAGATGGGTATAGGTATGTAAGGATACATGTTGTACCACAATTTCAATTCTGTCAAACCTAAGTTTGAGTCACTGGTCCACAATTTAATAGTTGTGTGACCTTGGGTAAGTTACTTCATCTATTTGAACTTCAATTTTTTAATCTTTAGAAATAGGTATAAATGTTGTCTGCTTATGAGATTATGGTGAAAGGTAAAAATGAAACAACTTATGTAAAGGTTTTAGTACGGTATCTAGCACACAGTAGTTACCCAGTGCATGTTCATTAATGTATTTTTTATAATTACAATTTTAATGAAATGAATTTTTAACTAATCACGTAAGCATATTTAAACATTTGGGGGAGAATGAGAATTACACCTACCATACGTTAGAAACCTTTGTAGTAAGTAATGTACCCTGCATAACAATACTCAGTAACTAGATAATTACCCTTAGATTCAAAATATGTAATGCGTTTTTGCATAACTTTTCAGTTCACAGTTGAATTACATCACGGTCTAATGTAGAAATGAAAGATATTTCCATTAAATCATCTATGAGCTTTTAAGTACGTAAGGTACAAGTTTGGCTAAATTGTTCATTCAAGCCAGAAGAAAAATATTGCTTAGTGTTTGTATCTCTGGGTGCACAGTCTTTGAGGACACTGCCACCAACACCTCTGTTCTTGTGGCATCTCGCCTCTTGAGTCAGAGCTCACTAATCATAACCGTTTTATGTATTTCTGGGATTTGGCCAACATTTTTACTTTAGATTTTCGTGTTCTCAGTTATACCTTTTTAGGATCCTCAGCCGCTGTGCAAATGGGAATTGTGACTTTTTTTCCTCATAGGATCTCGCTGGAAAGCTATGACAAACCTAGAGAAACAGCCATATTATGAGGAGCAAGCCCGTCTCAGCAAGCAGCACCTGGAGAAGTACCCTGACTACAAATACAAGCCCAGGCCGAAGCGCACCTGCCTGGTGGATGGCAAAAAGCTGCGCATCGGGGAATACAAGGCAATCATGCGGAACAGGCGGCAGGAAATGCGGCAATACTTCAACGTTGGGTAAGGACCTTCCGGTCATTTTCCCATAGAGAACATTTCCTGTTACACTTAATGGGATGTGCGATGTATTTGTTTAGTTGCAAAGCGGCATTTTGAGAAAGCACCTGAGCACAGTGTATTTTCAGAGACTAAACTGTCCCCTTATAATCCTGAGAAAGAACACTTCATGTGAATTCATTCCAGGCTCCTAGAACAATGGCTCTGATGCGGGAGCTTTGTTAATAGCTGGTTTGAAAATAAAATATCTGAGAGTAAAGAATTTTGAAGTTTGCTATTAAAAACATAGACGTCTTCCTGGTTCTTTTTCTTGCTGGTTTTCATTAATTCCAACGCCTCACAGTGTAAATTCCACAGCAGCTAACAACTTAGCTGAGATAATACAACATAAAAATGATTCCAAAAGAAAGACTTGTTTCTGAATATAGCAGAGTCTCTGGGCTCTCAAGGCACACGTGTGGCCTTACAAGATCACGTAAAGTAGGGATTCTCTTCAGGGTCGAACAAGTTGTGGATGGGAACGTTTCCTTCTGAATTAAGGATGCCTCTCTCAGGATGTCTTACCCTGCTTCCTATGGCAAAGGCCTGCAACCACATTGTTTCTGCAGAATTTTCTCAAAAAGCACAGAAATAAAGTTGTTCATATCTGGAACAGTAAATAAGATCCTGAGAGCTTCTTCGAATAATAAGTACTGTTCTGAAAATGGCCAGAGGATACTTTAAAAAAAAAAACCACAAAACTTTTCTAATCTGCCCTATCCCCTCCACTCCCCTGAAAGCATCTGCTTGCTTTGTCCAAAGGGTCTGTGATTTATATCCCAGTGCAGTACCCTTCTCCACACTGAGCACGAGACCCGGCGCTCCTTGGGGAAATAGTAAACAGACAAATGAATGAAAGAAGGCATAAATGAACATCATCTATTAATCCCTTCGTACTCGGACCAGCTACAGAATATATCTGTGGAGCCCAGTGTAAAATGAAAATGTGGGGTCCCTGTTAAAAGGTTTTTTTAAGAATTTCAAGCTTGTGACAACAGAACTTTAAACCAAGTGTAGGATCTGTCTAAGCCCCGGGTCCTCTACAGCTGCAGAGATGGTCCACCCATGAGGCCAGCCCTACTTCCTACCCCCACTGAAAAGTTTTTCAGGGATGAGGTGGACCATGTTCAGTTTTGGTGAGTTCTGGGCAGTAAAGTTTTATTTTGAGAGCTCTAAGACTTTAGGGTTTTTCCATCAAAATTGAATTATCTTTAGGTTTAATTCTTTTAAAAACTGTTTTGACGTGTTGTAGTGAAGGAAAAATTAACTCGGGCTCAGGGACTTGAGTTCTTCTGCTTAATCAATCTTTCAGTCCCTCAGTTTCTTTTCATAAAGTAGAAAAGTAGCAATCGCTTTAAGAATCAAATGGGTAACACGTGCAAATGCCTTGTAATCTATAAAGCACTACATAGAAGTAAGGTATTGGGATCAAAGTAGGATACAGTTTTCAAAATGTCGGGCAACAGGGTGAAAATCATGACCTTTGAGTTGGACAACTTGAGCAAGTTAATTATAGAGTAAGTAAGGCCTGCATCCAACTGTCCACTCACCCACGGTCTCTTTTTGGGAATTCCTCTCCAACAGGCAACAAGCACAGATCCCCATCGCCACTGCTGGTGTCGTGTACCCTGGAGCCATCGCCATGGCTGGAATGCCCTCCCCTCATCTGCCCTCAGAGCACTCAAGCGTGTCCAGCAGCCCGGAGCCTGGGATGCCTGTTATCCAGAGCACTTACGGCGTGAAAGGAGAGGAGCCACATATCAAAGAAGAGATCCAGGCTGAGGACATCAACGGAGAAATTTATGATGAGTACGAGGAGGAAGAGGATGATCCAGATGTAGATTATGGGAGTGACAGTGAAAACCATATTGCAGGACAAGCCAACTGATAAGGGTCGAAAGATTGTTGTGACCTTAGGACTTAAAGAAGCCCTAGCTGGTTCATCCTTACCAGTGGCCAAGCACATTAACTTTCTCATACACTGACTGTTACTTTAACTGTTAGTCTTAAATAGTTGGGACATCAGCTGACTAATAGACCTCAGCCTCAAAAGGCTTGGAAAGGAAATAAAAATACAACAAGCAAACAACAATATCAACAAGAGATTGAAATAAGCTATGGGTAAAATAATGCCAGTAATTCAGCTGCTACATCCAAGCACTGAAGTCTTACCCGTCAACTTTTTTTTTTAATAAACTTTATGGCTGTTTGTTCTACAATGTTCTAGAAATTCTCACTCAGGTACACAGTGCCAACAAGTGGCTTGTGAATGTGTTTTGTTGTTTTGTGCTACAGTTTTTAAAAAGAAATAAGTTTTGTTTTTTGGGGTTTCTGGGTTTTTTTCCTTTTCTCTCTTTCCTTTCATTGTTTTCGTTTTTGTTTTTGTTTTTGTTTTCGGTAATGCACCTGACAGAAAAAAAAAAAAGAAAGATGAATTTCTCTTTACTTCTCTCCACCTTCTCCATCTCTGTATACTTTAAAGATTGGAGTCTGTGCATGGGGGGGAAGAGGGAAAAAGAGCCTGTTTTTAACTTCCTTGCTATCCACCACAAAATAAGCAATCATTTTCTTTAGAGGACTTTCTTATCTGTTGCACACCACACTACATCTTTGAGCAAGTGCCAAATTTGTACTGAAGTATTGACCCAGTTGATTTTTTTCCCTTTCCTTTTTCCTGTTCCTTCTTAAATTAGGACAGTGTTATATCTTAGACAATCCCTTGAAAAAACCTGAAATACCAGCAGCTGGTGAGATTTGACTTTTGTTCCTTCTTAAATTAGGACAGTGTTATATCTTAGACAATCCCTTGAAAAAACCTGAAATCCCAGCAGCTGGTGAGATTTGACTTTTTTTTTTTTTTAATGGAAACTGTAGGTGCTGTTCTCAGGTGAAAAGAGAGAGAGAGAGACATAAGAAATTTAGAGAAAAAAATATTTTCTGATCTTGGATTTTTGTGTGTGTGTATGTATGTGTGTGATTATGGTACTAATTGGAATAATGTAGGACCATTGTGAGTTAAACCCACATCTGGGGATGAAATCCCACATCCTTCTAAGTGACTGGTGTGGAAGCAGCCGTGACCTTGACTTTGCACTTCAAATGACAACTTAACCAATATAGGGCTCAGAAATTATATTTTTAAACTTCTAATATGATTATTATTGGATGGATCAGGTGGCCCTGTGTAATAGAGTGGTGCGTGTATAACAGGGAAGCAAACTGTTCCCAGATGTTCCTTCTCCCTGGTCAGATGGTTCCACTAACATTTCCTACCTAATGATTTCTGTTTGTTTTTCCTGTTGTTAACTTCAAGCAAAACAATCATTGCTTCCCTTGAATATATTTGCCCGTATTCTAGAAATATAGAATTAGCTTATTTCTTCAACATTCCATCCTTTCCTGATCAGGAAATGGAACTGATGATTTTATAAGGTAGTTTTCATCCCTCCATGAAATGAGGTGGAGGCCATTTGCATTTCAGAATTGTGGGCCATGTGCATTTCATGCCGTAAAAAGCAGGACTTGATTAAAAGTTGTCACAGCCCAACAAAGAGGGAGCCTGGCTGAGCCCAGCAACCCTTGCCACTGCTCTACTCTTGCTGTAAGATGAATCCACTGAAGTCCAATTTCTGATTCCAGCAGAGTGTGTGCATAGAGCAACAACTGGTGGTGACAGGACTGCTTAGACTTTGCCAGCCAAGTGCCAAGGCAGTCGTAGGGCTTGTCCAAATAAGTGGGAAATCATTTAAACTGAATTAGTGTTGTTTGTGCTGAACCATCAGACAGTAAATACTCCAACCAGTAGCTTGGATGTGCTATGGTTTTCACTCCAGTCATCATTTTCCTATCCCACCCTCCCCAAACCTGACCCTAAAGTTTGATTTTTACATATAAATAAGAAAAAAATCCTTTTTATTTTTCTCTCTCTCAAAAGACTTGCTCTGGGGTTTTGCTTGGAGGAGCTAATCATATCCTGCATGTCAGAGACTTTGCTTTGTTTGTTTTTCTGTTTGTTTTTGATGACTGTATTTTCATTTGAACTGCCTCTTTTTGCTAGTGTTGTAATAATGATGATGATGATAAAATAATAATAATAATAGTAATAATAATAATAATGGTCAGCTGTTCCCAGATTAGTAAGTTATGCATAATTTATTTCTCCCTTTCTATTTTATTCTCCTCTGATTTGGAAGTACAGCCAATAAGTTGTTAGATATTTAAAACAAATTTCCATCTCCAACATGTATATATATATATGTATACATACATATATATATGCGCGCACACACACACATACACACACACACACACACACACACACACAAACACATTCACTCACACAGTTTCATTTATCCTTCCATAAGTTTTCCCCTTTTTAAAAGTTTGGCCCCAACAAATGTCATGTCCCGGTGTTTAATACCTACAAGTGAATTAATGGGAGGGTCGTATTCAATCTCAGTTAACTTAGGCTCTCATCACTCATTTTAGTTATTTAATTGCCACAGTCATCTACAGCCAATTTATCTTTTGTTTTTGTTTGTTTTGTTTTTAAGCACTCTGGATAAAAAAATGGACACTTGTTTTTATATCGTTATTATGTACAATGTGAAAACAGATTTTTAAAAATTTGTTCTGTCTTTGTTAACAAATTCTTTCTGACTTATGTGGGTTCACCTCTCACGTTTGCTGGACACTTATTTTCCACCATGTTATAAAGATGCTTTGTTTTCATTTCATGACTGGGCTACAAGGATACTTTGTTTTAGCTCCAGGTAGATGCCACTGAGGGCATTCATGGCTGACACAAATTCTAACACACTTACCAGTGAATTGACAAAACACTTCTGTTTGGTCTTTTTGTTTGTTTTTTACTTGTTTTATTTGAAGGGGAAAATGAAATTGTTAATGGTGACCTTTAACGGCTGAAATTCAGAAGTTAATTTTATTTAGTTAGATTTATGTCAGAGAGACGAAACTGTGCATGGATTGAAACAAAAGCAAGTCCATAGCCTTGCATTATGTTCTCTTGTTCTGATGTCTGATTCACTGGGGGTCACAATTGTTTTGCCTTAATTTTCCCCAAAAGAAAACAAACAAAAAATCATATTAATGTTTAAAGTGCTTTGAAGTCATTTGATAAAAGGTGCTATGAATGGCAGCCTACTGGGTTAGCACATTGCCTTCTGGCATTTGATTGGTTTATCATTTTTGTAAGGGATCCTAAAACCTTGTATTCTTTTTCTGTGCCCCATGATGACCAAAAAAGATAAGGGAGAGGAAATGAGAGTAAGATCAAACTCAAATGAACATAAAGTCTCCCTTCTCTCCCCTTCCCTACCTACCTGTTCACATTTCACATTACTTCCTCTCTCTCTCTCTCTCTCTCTCTCTCTCTCTCTCTCTCTCTCTCACACACACACACACACACACACACACACACAAACACACAAACCACAGGCACACACGCTAACCCTAGTACTGAGGGATAATCTTGCCAGAATTCTGTTTTTTTATGGCTGTTGTAATCAGTTCTTCTAAAAACAGTCATGTTTTAATATGAATCTAAGAGCATCACTGGAGAAAATAGGTTAAAGTTCATATATAAGTTACTAAGAATTTGTCTAGTCACAATTGTATAAAATAACAAAACTGTTCTTCAGTCCACTTATACCTAAATTAGTTAAGTCAATTTTTAACATTTATTTGGCATCTACAGTTAAGAGTTAACCATGTATAAAATCCCTCCCAAAGAACATAATCATTATTGAAACCAAATCCTCTTATAAGGAACAAATATAAAAGAATTTCTTTGATGAAGTTATTTCATAGGTTTGATTTTGGAGTAGACTTTTTACCTTAATTCATTTAAAGAAAATTATCTTTAAATATTTTATGGTCCAATTTCAGATATTTTCTTAATCCAGAAGATGTTACTGTTCCCAGAAGAAACTTCTTATATCACATTTAAAACATCAAAAATCATTATGTTTTCATTCATTCTAATGGGTAAATTATTTGAATTGTAATAAACAACTGTATATTTACAAACAGGTTTATAAAATATTTGTCTATCAAGTTAATAGTAAAATAAAAATTATGGGGTCTGCAAGGAAAAATATGAAGCCCACTTAAAGTGGTTCAGAGATCTCTTTTGTCTTATAGGGCATAGGTTTTCTTTTAGACAGGCTTTTACAGTATTTAATTTTAAAGTTTCCTATAACTATCAATTTCCCAGGTTGAAGATGATGTTGGGTTTTCTACTGATTGATTCCTGTCCTCCCCAGTGTTTCTGTCACTGGTTCACTAAAACAGTATTTATACAGCTCCACTGGCTCTAAAGCTCTTAGTCCTAATGTTTTGGATTTTATGAGTAAAAATGGGAAAATGTAGAAAAGAGACAATCAAATGCCTGGAGCTTAAAACAAAGTATGTGCAACCTACCATCTCACTTGAAATTTAATAAAATAAATAATTATGTAAATATAACATAGAGTTATAGATTTATATTTTGTTCATAACACATAGTGTAATATAAGTTGTATATTTTCATGTTTTTGGTTTTATGTTATCATTCATGCCACAATAAAAATAAAACAGGAGTTTATGTACTCTTAAAAAAAAAGATGTGGGTTGCCACCAACCTGTTTGTTTTTGTTTTTGTTTTTTGTTTTTGCATTCTCTTTTTTCAGTATTACTGCCATGCAAGGCACCAATAAAAACAGCAAATGTGTTCTTTACCTATTATACTGTGTTTCTTTTCACAATTCTCGTTATGGCGGTTTAATCATTAGTTTTCTTATAAAAAGAGCAAAAGTATGAAAAATAATTTAATTTTGTTTCTGATATAAATAACCTCACTTCCTGAAGTTGACTTTGAACTGAGAACTAAGGGTTTAGATCTTAGAGGTGGACATTCAAGAAGGCCTCTTTATAATGCATCTCATCAGAGAGCTTCACTGTAATGTCAAAAGTTATCCTTCTTGTATGTAATTGAAGCTAATAACATTTAAAAATCCTGCAGCCTGAAGCACGCTTAATGCCATTTTTCCCAAGCTTGACACTATCATTGGAGCGGGGTTTCTACACTTTAGAATTGAATTTCAGTCTATTGTTGGTATAGAAATTCTAAATTTCAGATTATGAAAGTAAGAACTATAAATAATTTTCACTTTACTGGTATCTAATTTATAATAATGGATATTTCTAAATTAACATTCTG